ATCAGGAATCCCCAATTATATACCTATAAATTTAATTTCTATGTTTTGAGTTATTAACTTGGGGTTTGTATTTCTTCCATTGTTGATTGATAGGACACCTTCTTTAAAATTAAGAAGTCTTTCTAGAATGACTTATCATCAGGAACAAATAGCACCACATTCAAGCCCTTTAAAAGAATTTCTGTAGATTCCCGTTTTTTAATGTTTTATCCTTGCAATGTCTATCTGTGACCAGCAGGTGTCCCCAACTACCTAGAATTTATGTTGTTGAGAAACTGAAAAGGTGCATTTAAAGGTGCAGAATTCCCATTTGTATCTTTTGTTTTAAATGAGACTGGCTTGATAAAAGCTATGACAATTACATATGAAAATATTCCTTTCTGAAAAGCCACTCATCTATTAGAAGTTGGAAGATAAAAAATATGTAGCAAATTTGATAGGATAAGCCACAATTTGCAAATACAATCCCTATTTATCAGTAGATTTTGTATTTTCACAGTTATCTATGCAATTTCATCTCTGATTAGCTCTTAACTCTGCAAGATGAAATTCTATTCGTTTTATAGAAGTAATTTTTCTATATCAAGATAAGAAGGTAAGTTCCTGCATATATTACGAGGTAGCTAGTAAGAAAATGCAAAGCACTTTGAGAGTGACTATTCATCTGTTATTACTAGATTTACACATCACATTAAGCCATGAATTATTTTAACCATGGTTAATTGAGTGAACCCTCATGGCAGAGTTCATAGATCATGCAAAACTACAAACCATGATTGACAAACCACAAATTCACACAGCACCCTAAAATTAGACAAACCATATTATGGCTAAGCACAACATATGAATCCATTCTAAGTCCCCCGTGGCATCTCCAGGGGGTTCAAAAAAGTCAAGAGGGTGATCATGACCGTGTGATCAAAGCTTCTCACATACAAAGGGATGGGATTTCGATTGTGCGGTTGTGACCACCATCTTGACTTTTTTGAATTGATCTGTGGTTGCTGCTGCATATTCTCTTAATGTTCATCATGTAACCTGATGCAAAGACAGTACAATTTAAAGGATGCTTTTTTCTACAATAACTCTCAGATAATGATAATAATTGTGATACTGATGATTACAATGATGATGATTACAGTGATGATGATGATGATGATACAACCTACTGGTGACTTTCAGTGGAGACAGGGACAACTTTATCAGTCCTCAGCCAATCCATTCATTCAACTGTATGGAATTCCATAAGATTTCTGCTTTTCATTCCTGGCTCAATATGGTTACCAGTCTAAAGTAGGGGTTAACTTACAGTCTGACTTAAAATTCTTAGTCTCTTGTTCCCCGACATTTCTGAAAAAAATGTATACTAGTGATTCTGAATTTAAAATATTCCAAATCCCTGGCATATAAGCAGCATCATAGAAAATACAGTAAACTTTGAAGCTGATGTCCAGGCATGAAATGAAAACATCTAAGATTCATAGAGAGATGAAACAAAATCTTCAGTCTACAAGAATGTAGAATTAGTTTGACAAATTATTTAAGCTAAATAATTAGTTTAATTATTTCTAAACTAAATAAATGAAACATAAACATCTACCAGGCCTTTCAAACATTTAATACATTTATTGTGGCAGGTAAAATTTAGGAACATAATTAAGAGATTCAGAATAAAAAAATAAAAGAAATTTTATTACATTAAAAAGTGTTATGTTTTACTGGTTTGTATTCAACTAGACTTGGAGAGGCACAAGTTCAAATTCTTGTCTAGCATGAAGTTCACTTGATAATAACGGGCCATTTGTTTCCCTTAGTGTAACTTCTTACAGGGCAGTATTGAAAAAAAGGAATAAAATAAATGATGGGGCTTGCCTTTGGGGGGGTGTGTGTGTCTGTTTCAGCCAGGAATGGGTAGTTGTGGACTTTTCCTTGATCTCACACTCAAATGGGCCCTCTGTAAAGTCAAATGATGCACAGTTGGTCTCTGCAAGTGTTGATATAAATCATATTAGGCAAAAGGTCATGACCAGAATAGTAGACATAGGGGTTCTTGTGCTGTGTAATCAGTACTTCAAGGGCAAAGTAGTTGATAGTCCATCTTCATTGCCCCTGGTCCAAGTGGCTTATCAGCTAGGACAGCTAATGTGACTTTTTGTGTCAGCTGTTCAGTTCAAACTTTATTAGTCATTGTAATAGTCCAAAGTAAAACATGATACTTAAAAAACATTCAACACTTTTCACACATAAGCAAAGTTGAAGCTGCAGTTGGTCATTCTGCCTTGTGATGGGGATCTTCTCACGTTGGAACTGTGTTGCTTAGTAGCAAAATCTTGCTACAGAAGAGGTGACTTTAGGATTTCTCTCAGTTCTAAGGTAGCTGATATAAAACTCTTCAGTACAACCAGAAGCGTTTTTAAATAATGGTTGGAGTAGCCATCGTCTTAAATTGGAATGAAAGGCTCATCCTAGAAAAAAAGTGCTTCATGGATTCCATCAGGCCTGACCCAGATGGGCTCTGGAGAATTTGCCCTCCAGGATGACTGAAGGGAAAATGTCTGCTATGAATATGTATACAATTTCTTATTCTGCCCTGTAATCTGGCACCCATTTACACTGCTCTGAATTTCTGGGCCATGGAACAAAATAATAGCAAAAGGCAAAGTTCCAGTACTTGCAAGCATGAATTACTATTAGCTAGTAAGACAAGAAATTATACCTCAGCCATGGGAAAGGAGGAAGTGTGAGGAAGAGACTCAAAATTAACATGCCATGATTCAGATGGTATAAGAGGGAGCAGAAGGGAATTCAGTCAGGCTTTCAAAATTCTACTGTATCCTGCAACAGTGTTTCTCAACCTTGGCAGCTTTAAGATGTATGGGCTTCAACTCTCAAAATTCCCCAGCCAGCAAGCTAGCTGGGGAATTCTGGGAGTTGAAGTCCACACATCTTAAAGTTGCCAAGGTTGAGAAACACTGCCCTACAATAGTGTTCCAGTAGTCTTTCTGGTGTTTCTTTCCTAATATGGTCTATCTTAAAGGGTTAACATCAAATTATGGAAAATTAGGCTATTAGTGGCTACCAGCCTTGTTGGCTTGTTTGCCATCTGTAGAATCCCATCATATTTTAAATTCCAGCTCTTAAACCACAATGGTGGGAAAGGATGACCATCTTCTTGTCCATCTGCGCAAGTTTCCTAATTGCATTTAATTGGCCAACATGCAACAGTTCCATATTAGATGGGTCGTTGGCCTGATACCAAAGCTCTTATAGTCTGCTGCCGCATTGCTACTTGTTACTTTTCATTGCACTCCATTACTAAACCTTTGTCTTCTTATTGGCATACTTCCTGTGTTCCAGTTTTACTACAAAGTTATATTACTATATGTGCTATATTACGATTTACTGTAAACTGCCTAGAGCCACTCTGTAGTGAGAATGGTGGTGACAAATTTGAAATATAAATAAATAAATAAATATTAGTCATTGTAGCCATGCAGGTTGCACTGTGATGATGCATCCCCTTCTGATATATCAAGGTAGCAAAGCATGGGTGGAAATTCAGGATAAATGTTGCCAGATAGCATCTACAGTATTATGTCTGTCCTGCTCCATGTTGTGATCTTGTTGCTGCTGTGTGCTTCATATGTGAAGCTGCAGGATGTTCCAAGCAGGAAAAAAAGACTTTGATATGGAAGCCAGGGTCAATGTTGTATTTTAAGTGAGAAATATTTTAAATTCCCTACTCTTATTTCTAATTATTATCAATCTCTTGGAAAGCTTCTTACACTGAACTCAAATCTTGTGAACTTTTAAACAAAAAGATAACCAAGCAATTACTTCAAGTATTATCAGATTTGTCCTGCTTGTAAATGTTCAGATCTGTGTGCTGATCCAGACTTAAGTTATGTATCAAACTGAAATTAGTGGAACTTGTGTGAAATGATTAACCTGCCCTGTTGGTTTCAGTAGGTATATTCTAAATATGCATTCATCACATAAATCTAGTTGGCCAGCTACCAATGCCAACGTTATCTATCCCTGGTCGAATGGAAGACTCATTTTCTCCTTTCTCTTATTGGTTTGGGTATTGTCCAAGAGGCCTATTTTCCTGCAGCTGTAAGTCCTTCTCTTTCTCCTCCCTGTATCTACCTCATCATCTTCCCCAGTATCAGCACTAATGTTGGGATGAACATGTGTGAAAATTCAAAGTCATGCACAACTGCTGCTTTAGTGATACAACTTCATGTTGAATGGAAAGATAACAGAAAATGCAAAAAGCTACAGATTAATTTGAAGAGGAATCTAGGGCAAATCCATACCACGTGCTTACAACCATACAGTGTGCTTATCGTCTGCATGACAGAAAGTGCAAGGCAAGTGCACACCTGCCATTTGAGAGCATGGGTCAACTTGCAGCAGTTTAGTTTTGCTAAGCAGGAAGTTTTTTCATCCTGGTCTTACAGCACCACTCTGTCTAGCACAGCTACTGCTTTCTGAACTAGATAAATAGCTCACACAAATGAGAACAGCTTTCTCCATCTTACAGAACTATAAAGCATCAGTCACAAAATTGTTTGTTCTCTTCCTCTTTTAAGGAAATTTAAAACTATTACATTTATAGCAGAACTAAATAGTAAGGCATAGCAGATTCGTGGTTGCAAAATATGTGTGGGTGTGGGTATGTGTGTGTATGTGTGTGTGTGTATGTACATACACATGCACACACACAGGGAGTATGAGAGAGATAATCCAAAGCAACAACTTAAAAGCTGTGTTTCAGAAGAACAATACAAACTGAAATACTTTATTGATGGTGTAGTGGTTAAGGCACCAGGCTAGACACCAGGAGACCATGAGCTCTAGTCTCACCTTAGACACAAAGCCAGCTGGGTGACCTTGGGCCAGTCCCTCTCTCTCAGCCCTCGGAAGGAGGCAATGGCAAACCCCTTCTGAAAAGCCTTGC